TTTATGCACCTCTTCACTTCAATAGTTTACAGCTGAAACCCCTCCATTGGAGCCTCCTGCTGTTGAAACACAAACTGCTGCTGACTTTCATCCACCTGAGGTGCAATACTGGAGTCCTCTTCTTCGACACCAAAGTAATGTTCTATGAGTTCAAAAGCCTTTTGGTAGATCTCTTGATTTTCATGCCTCTGAAGAAATTCAATTTTATCGAGTCCTAAATTCAAAACAAAAAATTTTCAAAATCTAGATTACAAAATGCAATCCCAAGACATCTTGATTCATTTGATATAATCAATTCTTAATTTCCTAACCCATGTACTTCTAGTCTTCATTTTCTGCAGCATTTTCTGCTGTCCAAAATAGTTTTAAAACTATGCTAAAAGAATAGCAATTAAACTAAGGAGGAGGAGGCAGCTGTAGTATCTACAAAGAAATTGAATCTGTATAGAATTAAGATAGCAAACTATTTGCCATAGCAACTTCCAATATTCACACTTCTTTTCTTTCACTCTTTTAGTCTTCTCCAATTTTAAATTCCGTCCCCTATTATGGATTCATCACTGGGAAGAGTCTGGTGTCTTTTTTCAAATTTAATTTTAAGATTTGAAGATCCTGTCTTTCCATCAGCTTATCATTTGCAAGCTAGAGGACATAATTCTGCAAGCAGAGCAGAGGTTAAGTGCTCAGTGGTCAGTTAGGCTGAATCAAAACTCCTTTTTAGGTGTTTAAGATAATTCAGTTTTCACTTAAATTGGATTAGGAATAGCTCATACAAACCCTTCTGGTGACTACAAAAGCCAAAGCACAAGGGTGATATAATTAGCTGTTTCCCCTACTTAAGCTTACACTCTACAGCTTTAGCAGTCTACACTTAACTGGTAAAGGAAAAAAAAAAACCAAAACCACAAACCTAGACATTCAGTAGTTGAACTTATGAATAGACTCAAAATCTGGAACAGAATAAATTCCATTAAAGTATTCAGTACTTATTCCTCTTAGATGTTAGACTGCAAAATAAGTTCTCCAAGTATGCACTTGATTTTAGAAATGAAACTCAGTAACGGGGAATTCAAACTTAAAGGCTGCTTTACAGAAAAGTTAGTGCGATCTAATCAGACATAATGTGGTCAACTAGAATTTTATTAGCAGTTTCTGAAACACAAATACCTGCCAGTTTTGTTTTAAGCTCAGAGCTACAAAAAGATAACCCTCCATAAATAATGCCAGCTTCATTATAAGCCAGGTTTAACATTAATTTTGTTTATAATTAATTTCAACTAGTCATGAAATTCCGCCAATGTCATTTTAGTTTTGATACTCTGCCTTTAAAATGTGCTTTAATTCAACAACTCTTAAAAGAAGAAACAGAACAAAATACCTTCACAAATTATGTACAAACTTATTTAATTTTATGATCTGAAGTTGATTTTGCTATTACTGATGCTTACTATGCTAAAAAGTGATCTGACTTTGGGAATAAGTAAAACAAACTCTGATCTCATATCCCTGTTGGTAATGAAACTGTACCAGACAGGACTATATATTAAAGTGATAAAACAATATTTAGGATTGGCTGACAAACTTTGGCAAACCATGGCTCCCATAGACTAGGGCACGTGTGTGTTAAATATTTCTGAGAAAGTTCTCTAGAGGCACATTTCATAAACTGACCACAGACAAACATCCACAGGTTTTCTGCATTTAACCGCTTTTCCCACCATGTTACATTACTTAATTTATGAGGCTTTCATGTCCACCTATGCTTGAAGTAAAAATTCTAATACCAAACTTACCTACAGATGGTTCACAATGGTTTTGCTTTTTACAGCCTGAAATAAGGAAGCTCAGGTATGTAGTTTTACACAAAGTAATTTCTTACCATATGCTTCCTCTATAAGGGCACAATAAGGATTAATGCCCATTCCATTTTGCTTAGACTCTTGTTCTCCAAGACGCAGAATATTTTCAAGACCATTTAAAGCCACCTGCACTATTTTTGAATCCATCACAGTCAGGAGGTCACAAAGAGGCTTCGTACAACCTAGTGCCACCAAATACCTTTATAAAAGTAGAAAAAACAGAGGGGGATGGGGGGAAAAAGAAGGACTGATAATCCAGAACATTTATTCTGACATTCCTGTCTATCACTACTGGTCCTTAATTTTGCTTAAAGAAGCGGCTGAAACAAAAGATTTCTAAAACACAACACAAAGGTAATCTTAGTCTGAAATGGAGTACATATTCTAATGTATCCTAATGAGAAAATGTAATGTGCATATTCCTAACTAGAGTTTGGAATGAATCTTCAACTCCTTTTGACTTATGATCTTCAGATGGGTTTAATTGAATAGAAGAGAAAAAGTTAGTTTTAGCAGTAAGTTTTTTTTTCTCAGGCATTCTGTAGTGGCAAAAACATTGAGTAAACATGTTAGAGACAGGTAAGAACACCGGACATTGCTGTATACTAATGTAGTTCCCACTAGCACTCCGTAAAGGTGTTAACATTACCTACCGTAAAAGGAAGGACATAATTGTAAATACTAAAAAAGATATCAGGATTCTGAGTATCCTATTGCTTTTTCCAATTACACACAAAATTGTGTAGGAACTTTGGAAGTCAGAATCTGTGTCCTCCTTTCTAGTTTGAAAGTAAAATCAAGACAGTAATGTTTGCCAGCATCAAAAGGTTGCTTAAATATAGCTTATTTTAGTGGTTTTAAATTATTCTGCAGTTAGACAGTAGTACCTTGAAGACATTAAAAGGGCTAAAATTTCGTGACATAGATAACAGATCTGTTTTGTGATGAGAAGCTACTTCTATGGTATTACATGCACATCTATTATTTGAAGATCCTGAATTAAAATTTGTTTAAAATATGCTAAATTTTAAGATGTTCTGTTATGCAAGCAATCAAAATAATAGCAAAAAAACAGCAACAAGATTTCCTTACCTCTGATAACACTTAGTGGTTATAAGAAAACCAGGATTGTTTACATTTTAATTAAATCAGCATGCACTTATTGCAACAGATCTCCCAAATGTGCTGGAAGAGTTAATACATCACTTTCAGTTCTGGCTTCCAAATAATACAGTCATTTTTAAATCCATTTATCAGTTACTGATTCAAACCAGTTGCTATGCTGATGGTATTCAGGGAAACAAGAGAATATTTTTTTCTAGTCATTCAAGAAGTCCAATCTTTGCAGCACATAAATAGCTGCTGACAGTAAAATTTTCATCAAACTCAATTCTGAAAAAGGAGTTTAGATATCTGCTTTAAAATAATACTGATAGTAAGTTTAAAATATATGAAAAAGCCACTAAAATTCCTGATGTCTCTCCATAAAGAGATACAATCCCATTGCACAAGTTTTTTAAACAAGTCTTACAAAATTTTCCATTTTCAAACACTGAAGCTGTTCGTTAACTGTACCAATTGTGTTTGACAATATAGTATCAACTCTGGAAGATAATCCTGTGAAAGCTTTAGGTGTAATATCACTGAAACAAAGCAGTATCAGTCAATTTGTTATCAAATCTACTGCATATATTTCACTAATTTTTCTGATCTTCTACATGTTCAGTCCCTGTGTCAGAGTTACAAGGAATTACGGGTGTGTTTAAGATTTTGCTGCTATGTTTGTGAGGGTTGAACTGCAGAAATAAAAATGCCTTAGAAAAGATACTTGTGCAGAGAAAATAGTAACATATACAAACTTACCTAATCTGCTCAGGGGTTCCTCCTGATGTCGCATTAGTTATGGCCCATGCTGCTTCTTTTCTGGTGCGAAATTCAGCTTTTTGAAGAATTTCAATCAATATCGGAAAAATATTTGCATCTATAACAGCCTAAGAGATAAAATTATAATATTTTATAATAATTAATAAAACTTGAGTATACACAGAGAAAGAATATTAATACCTTTCACTACAAGAGTCACTGATGCCTGCTGATATCAAAGCAAACAATGTTTTGTTAGAAGGCACCACTGCCTAGAAATGCTAAAATGAAATTCAGAACTATTCCAACATTGCATTACAGCAGCCATCAGAATATCTTCTTTATTGATTTCTCTGTCTTTGGACAGAGAATACTGCTTTGGACAGAATACTGCTTACTGAAGAGGCCCATTTAAAAATCATATAGCATAAGCAGTAAACCTGAGTTTTTGAACTGGAGATCAAGCCTCAGAACAAAAGCTTCACTTTGTCCATTTCATTCAGGTTTGCAGTCTCCACAGCAAGATCTTGTCTATAATGGGAAACTGTATTATATATTTTAAATGACATTAAGTAGTAACATTTTCATCCCTGATTGAAGTAGAGGGGAAAAAAAATCACATTGAAACATGTACTCTGATTCAGAACTCTGTTTTGTCAAACAGAATCTTTTTTCAGGTAACTCCAGACACCTGGAACAGCAAGTCAGGATTTAGTAGTTTCTACAAGAATATAACTCAGTATTGATGACATCATGCAAGTTTTTTATCCAAGCAAAGTGTTCAACATTTCCAAAAGGGTAGAACTGGTAAATTGTCCACTTTTCACTGGACTAGTTTGTGCAAGATGTTTTGTTTCAACTTTTAAAAAAGAAAAAGGGCTTATTATTTTAACATGTGTATTACAGTGCATAACAAAATTACAGAGAATATACCAGTAGATGATGCTCCCGCAGGGAAAAATAACAAGATCTAAGAGAATATTTTAAGTATCCTTTCATTTGTTTTATAAGCATCAACCAAATCCCTTTGAGTGAAATTAATCCGTTTCTCTAGTATAAATCGTGACAGCTATTTTTAAAGTATTATTTAATGACGTTATTTCTAATAATCTTTCAAAATTTAGAAGAAAACATTTCAGGTAAAATTATAGACAGTTAAGATTAAAACAAATAATGCAGGGTCAATGTAATATCTACTTATTTCTGCTTGTGAAGGAAAAGCAAGTGTATTAGTAAAACGAAAACAAAACCAAGTAACAAATATACAGGCTTTACCTGAATCTGAGCTCTGTTTCCTGCAGTAATATTAGAAACGGTCCAGCACGCTTCTTTTCGAATAGATTCCTTGGGACTACTAAGCAAGTGCAAGAGGCAGGGTAATGCAGAGCAGTTTAGAATCACCTAAAATAATTTGAGAATTGAAAATTGGGTTGTACAATACACACAGATAGATATACAGGCTTGTGCAATACATATATATATATATATATAAAAAAACCACTTTACAGATTACTTCAAAAATAGGTAACACACTGCAAAATTAAAGTGTTCAATGCTGTTGTGTGTGAATAGACAATCCAGCAATTTGAAAGAATCTGCCCTCGATTACGTTCAGACCAGAAGACTGACAACAGCAAGACTAAATAAGGCTGCTAAAGGCTAGAATATGAATAACTCAGAATAACCAAGAAGTGTAAATCTATTTAATTCCACTGCACAATCCTCTCTTACAGACCTCACAGCAAATCACGTAATTAACTTATTTCCTTATTTTCCCTTTACACTAGTTCTGTCAGCCTCTTAGATACAATTTTCTTTAAAGCAGGACCTCTCTCAGTATTTCCTGCATTGTTTCAAACTCGAATCCATTGCCTAAATAAAAAAAACCCAAAAAACAAAAAAACCCAAAACCCACAAAATCTTTAGTCCTACTGATGCAATTTGTTCTATCACATACAAATTCATGGTCAAACCAAGTATGACTGTTGCTTACAAGTGAAAACTTTGACTGTATTTCAAGACTTTTAAAAGGGAACAAAAATAAATAATTGAAGGGTAGGCAGGGTGGAATGAGGAAAAAAAAAAAGAAGTTATTTTAATTGTGCATGGGAAGCAATGGTCAAAGTACCATACAGGAATGAAGCAATCTACATCTACTACATACAGCGCTGTAAGAAAGTGTTCAATCTTGCATAATTTAATGTTTAAAATAGCAGTCTAAACTGTCAAATTAACAATATAGATTTGTACAGAGCTTCTTTCACTGACGTAAGCAGATACCTGTACTGGACATATATTTTGCCACAATTTTCACAAAATTCTGTCGCGCCAATTAATTTTCCTTAAAATCAACTAGTCTTACCTGTGTTTGGATATCATCCCCAGTAACAATATTTCCAACTGCTCTTAATGCAGGGGATACCACCTTGTAATCATTATGCCTGGAGACAAATATTAAATTGCTTGATATTACCAAATTTGAAGTATAATTTTGCATTTTCAGTGTACAATGGTTTATCTCTGGTGCTAAATTTCTAGCTATGAAAAACACCACATTAGTTCTTACCCTTTCCCCCTATTTAGCCAAATTTGACAACTGCAGTCCGACAAATGAATTGCTGATTCAAGGAAAGGACATCTCTACAGAACACCACAACTTAGAGCAATCTATCTGTCCAGCAGATTCATTTCACCCAACTCAAGTATTATTGAATACAATACTGGATCCTGCATCATCCAATAGCCACAGAAACAAAAGGGGTGTTATTAGCTGTATACTAAAACTTAGCAGCCCCCTTTTATAAACTAACTTCGCCCTTTTGTAAGTCAATAACCCTAGAAGCTAGTAAATTAAGCCCACATTCAACTGAAGTGTGTGGGAAGGAAATCTAATCAGTTGTCCTAAAGCATGCACAGAAAAGAAAGCAACCTCACCATCTCCTGACAGCTTTTCACAGGGAACTGTGCTGACCTGTCAGTGCTGGGAATTACTATCCCTGACCTACTCTGAAGTCCCCATCTGAACACAGGGATTTAGTCTGCCTTTCTAGGAAGATAATGAACCATAAACCAAATATACTGGAACAGTTCAAAAGTGACACAAGCCTGCGTCTGGACTTCATGAGTCCAAGAACTGTCTGTATTACAACTACATCTCCTAGAAAGGTAAGAAACCAGAATACAATGGTGACATTAAAAGAAAAAGCTGAGAAATTAATTTACAATTCAAGCTTGGTCTTCAGTCTTCACCTTTCTATTCCTCCATGTAAATGAAATCCTACATAGGGGATGCTATACAGATGGAACTGGACAAGCTCGAGGAATGGGCCCGCGTGAACCTCATGAGGTTCAACAAGGCCAAGTGCAGGGTCCTACACCTGGGTCGGGGCAACCCCCAGTATCAGTACAGGCTGGGGGATGAAGGGATTGAGAGCAGCACTGCAGAGAAGGACTTGGGGGTACTGGTGGGTGAAAAGCTGGACATGAGCCAGCAGTGTGCGCTTGCAGCTCAGAAGGCCAATAGTATCCTCGGCTGCATCCAAATAGTGTGACCAGCAGGTCGAGGGAGGTGATTCTGCCCCTCTACTCCACTCTTGGTGAGACCCCACCTGGAGTCCTGCATCCAGCTCTCGAGTCCTCAGCACAGGAAAGACATGGACCTGTTAGAGAGGGTCCAGAGGAGGGCCACAAAAATGATCAGAGGGATGGAACACCTCTCCTATGAGGCCGAGAGGCTTGTGGTTGTTCAGCCTGGAGAAGAGAATGCTGCAGGGAGACGTTCCTGCAGCCTTCCAGTACATAAAGGGATGAGTAAGAAAGGTAAGAAAGATGGGGACAGACTTTTTAGCAGGGCCTGGTGCCATAGGACAACGGGTAATTGTTTTCAGCTAAATGAGGGCAGATTTCGACTAGATCTAAGGAAGAAATTTTTCACAATGAGGGTGGTGAAACCATGGCACAGGTTGCCCAGAGAGGTGGTAGATGTCCCATCCCTGGAAACATTCAAGGTCAGGTTGGACAGGACTCTGAGCAACCTGATCTAGTTGAAGATGTCCCTGCTTACTGCAGGGGTGTTGGACTAAATGACCTTTAAAGGTCCCTTACAACCCAAAGATCTATGATTCTATAATTAAATTTTTTAAAATATAAAGGAATACTTCGGAGAAAACTTTTTTCTCTGTCAATCTCAGGAAAAATGCCAGGAGCCAAGCAATCTAGCAAGCAACTTAAAAGGTTTCAGACTAAATTCATGTTCGTCACTTCTCACAAAATAAATTCAAACTTGAGGTGAGAAAAAACAAGTCAATTTGAATTCCTTAATATTAACAATACTGTAAGACATTTATTTGGTGAAAAGAAGACTTACATAAGCAGCTCTACCAATCTTCGACACACACCAGAATCGATAACAGCTTGAATTTTATCATTGGGACCATCTGAAAGGTAAGAGAGGGCCCAGCAAGCATCTGCTAATACATCCGGGTCACTGCTGAACAACAGTCTTGACAAAACATTTAAGCAAGGAGCAACCTAGGTTAAAGAAAAATATTGCATAAAATTAGTTGTTTCTTATTTTTCAAGTTTCACAGAACATTCTATAAGGCATAAAGGTGCAAAACTATTTATTGCCAAAGCACATGAGTTCACTAATGAATTAGGACCTAAGTGGAACACCGCCTGATTAAACTAGGTATCAAATTTAAACTGACAAATTTGATAAATTCTGATTCACAGCCTATTTATTTAGAGATACTGTATTACGTATGTAATTGTTCAGCTTAAACAAAAAACATCCACTTTTATAGGTAACCAGATGATCAGGAATTACTGATGCTTTTTTGAATCACTCAGGGAACAGAATTTCAAACTAGTAATGTTTTTTGATATTGCCGTCTTTGTAGGAGTACTGGAAATTATATGTAATAGCCTATGTTTTGCTTTACCACAAAGAAACTCAGAGTAATTCACAAAGGACTCAACATTCACTGAACCAAATCAAACAAGCAACAGCTGACCTCAGTTCTCACTGCAACTGTAGTCTCTGGCCTTAATCTCTTCCAAGTTCCACACAGAACTAGACCATCTTAACACCACTTGGAACCTGACAGGTTTCAGCTGTACAGCTTGGGAATTGCATATTCTTTGTAGAACTTAATTCTTTATCTTAGTTACACAATTGAGCCTCTTTTATGTGTCCAACTGGTACAATTGCAAAGGGCAAAAAGCAAAAGAGCTGTTCTTATTAGCAGCTACCTACAGGTCATCTTCTTCCACTGAAGTTTTAAGTGTTTAAGCAGCAAGAAATCTTCCTGTTTTTTTTTTTACTACCACAACAAAACACTACTGAAGAATGTAACTCAGGCAGAGCAATTGTGGTTGATTAACTGACATCAGAAATCTCCCCTTTTTGTTGATATCTCTCCAAGACTTATTATGTAGCAATGACAGTGATTACTACCTCATGAGGTAGGCCTCAAGACATGTAAATTCTCTCCAGATTAATTATCCTTTAACCTCAGTCTCTTCCACCAGAATATCCAATGTTCAGTTCTTTTAATCTTTTAATGTCATTAACCTTACCAGAAATTCATTTCATACTGAAAATAAGGAGCCAATACTCTTATTAGCCTCTACAGTGTTACTGTCTTTATAACCACATACTGGAGAGAGGAGGAAGTGAAGGGGAAAGCATACAGGCAAATCACCTCTGTCATCATAGTATGATTTAAGTGCACCTGACAGAGCACAAAACTCAGAACTTTATTCCTTCAGCATGCACTCACAATCATAAAATAAAAATGAACAGAGAATTTTTAAAAAAGCTTCAATCATAAAGCACATCCTCTAAAACAGATCTGGAGAAAATACAGCCTCAAGGGGTTTTGTGCTGAATGTATTATTTGTCCATCATTTCATACCAGTGAATGACTATTTGCATCTGACTAACTACAATCTCAAGTTTTTGAGTAATTGAATTTTATTGCTGATAGGTGTCAAAATAAATGATTTTTTGCAGATACAACAGATGGACAAGACTCTGTGATTACATTAAAAAGATAAAATTGAGTCTATCTCCAGATTCAAAGATTCTGTGCATTATAACATATTATAAACATAAGCCTTCCGGAGCTTTCTGGTTTCTCAAAATGAATACTTTATTATACCTTACTGAAGTCTGGAGGAGGGTTCTTTCCTCTACAGAGATTTGAGAGAGCCCAGACTGCATTTCTAGTTGTTGTAAGACGATTTGAATTTGTTAACAGTCTGTCAAAGAGAGACAACAATAGTAAAAACAATAATTTCTTATTGAAAAGTTGAGTCTTTTTATGTCTATTACCAACAGTACCTCAAATCAAAAAAAGAAATCCTGTTGCTGGGCACTAGTTTCAATTTATTTCTGTTCATAGCTTACATGCTGCAAGTATTTTCTTAGAATCAACCGAATCCGAATGGATTATTTTGTGTGGACATCTCATTCCAAAAATCAAGTATATCCATGTGAAGTAAACAATTTCCATATGAAAAAAATCATACAACTAATCTTTTCTGAGGGTCCTCAGAAGGGGCTAGGAGAAGCAACCCTCCATTGAATTAACTTTGACGTTTCATTCAGATAATGCAATTAATAATCATAAGAACAGTTCCATAAAAAGTTAGAACCTAAAAGATCTTCTAAAAAAATTAACACTGTACTGTTTTTGTTAAATAGAATGCAAAAGATTCAACACCTGAAAAAAAACATGTTCGCTTTCAGATATATACCAAAATGTCTAAAACTGTTAATGCTTTAAATCCTCGAGGAATGTAATCACATTCTCCTCTATTATTTTAAGCTATTTTACAAATGTTTTAAAGCATTTTATTATTTTAAGCAATAATACATTGAACAAAATTTGTGTACATTTTTTTTCCCTGTGATGAAGCTACCTTATATCCTATTGTAAGCATACAGTAAATGCTGGAATGATATTCTTCGTGAAGAGAAATCTTCTGGTGGAACACAGCTCATAGAACAACTACTCTGCCAGCTCATCTTAACAAGCAAATGGATAGATAGCAAAACCAGAGCTTCGAGCTACTGGACAAAGGTGGTGAAACCAGCTTATTGTCCAGCCAGTTGGAATCACACAAATGTAAGCGTAAATGAAATCATCTCTCCCATCCTATATATCCAGAACTCTGACAACACAGAGTTCTGCAAAATACAGAAATTTAATACCTGTGAAATAACTTATCTCCTTTTACAAACACTGGAAAGCTTCTATTCATGGACTAATTAAAGATATGCATGAAGCTCAGGTAATCCAAAACATTAGAGTCATAGCAATATAATAAAAAAAGAAACATTCTCAATTTAGCAAAAAGCTTATATTCTTTTTAAATAAATTTTAAGTTGAGGTTTACAGTTATCTATACCTGTATACTATAGTTATCATATTAATCTACAATACTTACTCCAAGAGGGGTGGTAATATTCCACAGTTTAAAACAAAGTCTCTGCATTCTGCATTATCACCAGCAATGTTACCAAGAGCCCACACTGCCTTAAAAAGCAAAGCATCCAAGTGAATTTATACATGCTTGCAAATCAACTTTTACAGATCATCTACATATTTTTTACAGCAAATACTATAGAAGCAAAAACCCAGTATCATTCCAAATACAAAATTTCAGAAGACTACTGATTTCTATATTGCATTTTTTGTGAACTCACAGGAAGTCAATTACCTACACTTGAAGTGATCCTCTGAAGGAAAGTCTTCTGTTATGAAAATATGTTGATTCATATGCTTTTCAATAAAAAGGATACACACACTCTATTAATAGTTACACTTGCTCACTATATGTAATAGATGCAATAAAACTGGCTCAAAGTTGCAAACAACGTATAAGGAATTAAAAAGTTGTCATGAACTTTCCCTATACAAAAACTTTCAAACATGCTAAATAAAAGCCAGTAAATTACAGCCCCTCAAACAAAAAACCCAAATCAAACAAAAAAACACGCCCCCCCCCCCCC